AGGAAAATGTGGTCTTCTTTCAAGAAAGACCAGCTGTATTTTATTGTTATATACTTGTCACAACTCACAACCATGAAATTTATTTATTGGCATAGTACATTACTACATGGCATATTATTCTCTTAATGCAAAGTAGAAACTCTAGTCCTTGGTATCTGCTTTGGCTTCATTTTCTTCGTAGGCTTTAGCTTCTTCGGCATTAAGGCAGCATTTGCAACCACCTCCTTTGCCGCCATATCCTCCACCACAGCAACCATATTTGCAACCTCCTCCGTGTCCGCCACCACCACCATGTCCACCACCGCCACCATGGCCCCCGACATGTCCGCCCCCTCCACCACCGCTGCCTCCATATCCACCTCCACCACCATAGCCACCGACTCCAGAACCACCATCTTGGACATTGTTTTCCTCTACATTATCTGCTCGGTCAGCTTCATTTGCTGCATGGACATAATTCTTATGTAATTAGGTGTATATAGTTTCAGAATTAAGCTTAAAATCAAGAGACACCCATAAATTGTCTTGTAACCCATATAATTGAAATCTCACCATTTCGACAACAGTATCTATTACAGCCATGGCGGCCCCATCCACCGCAGCACCACCGGTTCCTGCAGTAACCCCCACCACGGCCTCCCTGGTCGGGTTGCTTCAGTCCATCTGTGTTCTCTGCTGCCTCGACCTCATTTTCTGCATTTGGAGTTATAATTATTGTTACTTGGCTTAACAAACTTTTTAACTTAAAAACCTGATACCTAAAATTCTTGCATAATATATTGATATTATGATATATATTTTTTCTTCGCACAAGTCTCACCATAGCGGCAACAATATCTTCGACAGCTCCGGCAGTAACCCCCACCGCCTCCTCCCTGGGTGGGTTGCTTCGGTCCATCTGTGTTCTCTGCTGCCTCGACCTCATTTTCTGCATTTGGAATTATAACTATTGTTACTTAGCTTAACAAACTTTTTAAATAAAAAACCTGATACCTAAAATTCTTGCATAATATATTTATATATTTCTTTTCTTCGCACAAGTCTCACCATAGCGGCAAGAATATCTTCTACAGCCATAGCGGCCCCATCCACCGCAGCACCACCGGTTCCTGCAGTAACCACCACCACCTCCACCTTGGTTGGTTTGCTTCGGTTCTTCAACTGGACATGTTAACAAAGATAAACAAGGAGCTTCATACATAATACAAATAGTGACTAAAATTTTAAATTTTACTATTAGACAGCTTAATATAGCGTTCTTCACCAAAATTGATGCATGCAGACAGAAAGGAGAATGATTAGTTTAGAATTTTCGTTATCGCATGTTTTACTATGCACAAATATATTTTGTTATACGTTTGATACACGGAACTGTATCTTATCATGATTCCTCCTTATTAATGGAACACATAAAATGCTAGAATGTTGATAATTTACTTCCATTTATACTAACCCTTTTGAGAGTCGTATTGGGAAGTAGCTTCCTCTGCAACAGCTGAACAAACAAGAAGAACAAGACCAACGAGTATAAAAACTTTAGACTTCATTTTTCAGAATTCACTTATTCGTATAAGAGGAAAGACTTTGAGAATGCAATGGAAATTCTAAAACCTGTTCAATTTATAGGGAAAATGAAGCTGCAAACAGACACTAATTGGTCCATTATGACGAGGGACAGTATTAATGGCGGATTGACTTCTTTCGCGGATACCATTACCATGCAAGCTTGGCTTGAATTTTTCTGTCAATTTCAGAGCCTTAGCAATTTGATTACGATTCTGTTTGAAAAAGTAACCCAAAATAAGAGAAAGAAAAACCGAAATGGAAGCATCAAGATAATAAAATTCTTAATAGTCAAAATTCTCAGTACTAAATATATGTGAGTCTGCAATTGCAACCTACTTATGTCAGCAGAAGTTGAGAAGTCAATTTTGAATTTTGGATTTTATATAGCAGGAAAATTTTAATTCAGATTATCTAGGTAGAGCCAAATCTTCTTGTTATAATCTTAATTCTTTTGCCTGGTTATCAGACTGATATCAAATTATTAAACGAATGAATTACTTGTTAGACCGATGATTCTTTGAGTATTTCTACAAAAGGCTAAGAAATATTTAGTAATATCAATATTAATTTGTATAATTTATTTTTTTTTTCAATCTAAGAACTAAGTTAGGGCGTAATTTAGTGTGCTACTTCACAAATTCTTCTACTAAATATTTATTCATGATCATTTTTACATGATAAGCTTTTTCTTTCAGTATAGTGACATGAGAGACGCCCTTCGATATTAGAAACTCGTTTCATTACTATGATTAGCATTTCAATGTAAGATAATGAGTTTATGAATTATAACTTTTTGTAAATCATTGTTTATGAATTAATTTGTAGCCTATAGAATTTGTAAATGATTATATCATCATTGTTTTACTTGTGTTTACAACATTTTCCTTAGGTTAAATTTCTGTTGGAGTCCCAACCTTTGTTAATTTACTATCACATTCCCAACATGCCACCAATCTTTCACATCTGTGCGAGTACGGTGTCTCTCACCTAAGAAAAACCATATATTGGACCATAAGTTAAAATTTGTGTTAATATGGTTATTACACATTTATTTTGGATAAATAAAATAAAGGGATGAAAAAGGATAAAACTGAAAAGGAAAGGAAAAGGAAAAGGAGAAGGCAAATAAAAAAGAATCACCCTTTGAAACTCCTTATTGCAGCTCGCCACCACCCAACTTAAGGGTTTAATATAAACTAATGCTATTTAACATCATTGAAGTTACAATACACTACAAAAATATGAACTCCACGGGATTGATCGCTAAAAGTTTAACATCAATTTGTATCGTCAATCCCTGACTAGAAAATGTTGTTGATTAGCAGTTGATCGTCAAAAGCTAGCCAACAAAGGTTTTCACCGATCAAAATACATGTTAGTCAGGAAATATAGATATTCATATTAACCAACAACAAGATTGGTAAATGTTAAGGTTTCAAATCCCCAATCAAAATATTTAGGTCAAAAAGTAAAATGCTCACCGAGCCATCTCATACGATCGGCAAATATGTCCAGTCTAGACCTACAGTAATATTTTTGAACGATAAATGTTGTTTTCATTGGCTAATTTTAGGTACGTCGGGAAAAAAATGGTCGGCAAAGACAATTTTCATTGACTAGTTATATTTGATCGAGAAAAAATTGATCGACAAAGATACGGCCAACTAAGAATTTTATTAGTCGGTAAAAAGAGCATTTTTACCGATTATTTTTTGTCAGAAAAGTCATAATTTCTTGATGTGACACCAGAATATATAACATTAAAACATATGTATAATTAAAGATAAAATATGAAACTTATTTAATTATTTCTATCATTTAATGTCAACTAGACTATGTTGTAGCATGTAAAATCAGAATTTCACTTTTTAACTATGAACACAATATTGTTGTCTGGTGGAAATCCCACTTGTCCATGTTTAAAAGGTTGGGAACCTGGATATCGCACTTAATAAAAGTTGGGGACTCCATCTGGAATTTACCCTTATTATTTGATCATTCAAGATTAAGTTTTATAACTTGTGCCCATATAAGAATTTTTTTTAGTTTTGTATAGTTGTAGATTAAAAAATATTTACAATTAATACAAGATAATGGAAAATAGTTAGTATGGTTAGGACCCGTTTGATTCTCTTTCTTTTGCAACAAAAATGAAAAATATGACCGTTATTCATCACATCATGTCACAATATTTGATTTTCTATCTTCTGTGTGAATTCCGTAACGACTCTATTTTTCATTCTCGTTCTTAAATCTGTGTGAATCAAATGGGGGCTAGATGTAGTGAAAAAATGTCAGCAACAATTAAATTGAAATGTGAAAATATCATCTGACTTTTGTATAAATAAATCTTAAATATAATTTTTGAAATTGGAAATTAAAAATCTGGTTGTTTATAATTTTCGGCTTGTGCAATCCCATAATGCTCTAGAATTTGTGTAAATCATGAATAATCATCTTTATTCGAATAAAATCCTTTTAACAAAATTTAATAAAAAGGAAAAATATCACATTATTAGGAGTCATTCTTAAGGTGGACAAGGGTCGTTCCACCAAGAAGAGTCTTACGGCATCACATAGTTGAGATTTGAGGGTGAGGCTTGAAAGTGTTGACACGAGTGATGAAAGTGCAAGGTCCAAGACTAGTCGTTTTTTATTTTTTTTTTACAATTTAAACTGATCGACAATGGACTCAATTATTTATTGGTTTATTTTAATTAATTATTCAAAATATTTGGAGATTTTTTGTCACTTTATCTCAAGTTGGTACTTGCATAAAGCAACGATTCGTTTATCATGTGCTATTCAATCATTCATTGTTTCTTTGCATCAATATCTTACTAGTCATAGTCATTTATGTTGCTTAGTCTATTTTTGATAAATTATTGTTGGAGTGTTGACACGTGTACGATCATTATCTCAAAATTGCTTCCTGGTTGAACCTAATATTTTTGCTCCAAGCATAATCTGTAAACTACGTAGATTTGACAACTCACCGGTTTCATCGTTTTTAGTATGCCTCATGTTATACGTATCATGGACCCCGAAATCGACTTTATAAAAAAAGAAAAAATTCAATATTTGAATTTCAAATTTGTGGTTACTCACCTAGGCAAGCGGCTTACTCGAGTAATTGTAATCACGTCGATTCACTCCACTTAACACTTTTAATCAGTGTTTTAAAAAACGTAACGCATGACNAAATTATTAAATACCAACTAAAATTTCATCAAAGTAAAGTAATAGTTAAAAATATTACTTTAAAAATAACTTTCACGTCTAATGATATTAGAGAAATAACATAATTAAATATAACTTATCCATTGATAACTGGTGAAAAATATAGAATGAACAAAAATTTATTGACAACATCAATTATTGCCATCATCATTATTGACGATATTAATATCGAGAATCATCTACTGAGGTACATGGGTGATCATCGACAATATTCGTGCGTGTGGTTCGATTTGAATTACCGATAGATGTTGATTTCGTTAAAAATAATCTACAATAACCATAGAAATCACTGTAAAAACAAGAAACCATAGATAAACAAACACGATAGCTATTAAGTTCACCATATTTACCAATGTAACAAACTCGATCTCTTAGCCTAGACAAGGACAGTGGAGAAAATACATATTTTCCATGCTTTTGTCTCTATCCGATGTTAATGTTCCACTAACATCATATAATACTCATCTTTTCAATGTCCATATCCAAAGTCCAAACTATATTAGAAAGAAATCAGAAGTGATAGCAACGGGGCCGTTTGTTCCCCGGCAAAGCGTGGCCCGAACCAGCCAACAAAGTGGACTTGTCCATGACCACTTTCAGAGCTCTCCTCAGTGTCCCCAAACTATCTTCATTGCCAATACTCCCTAAAATTTGTACCCACAAAATGCTCTTTATTCTCCCTCCAACTGTTGCCATTTCAGCCTTCATTACCTTCCCTTTTACTGATTTGAGGGCCTGGATTAGCTCCAGTATGATTTCGGGCCTGTCATCGCAGCATATATTCGCCTTTATCAGGCCCGAATTGTCATCGCAGTAAGTTACTTTGAGTTCATCTGTTTCACTGGGGAAAATGAATTTCGATTTTGTGTTGCTCATGTCATGATCTGTGTCTTTTTCTCCTTCTTCTTCAATGGCCGCCAATTCTGCAGTTGTCTTCTTTAACTCCCTCACACGTCTCACTGCTTCTGCTAATAATGAAGCCTTGTCCGTCTGTCACAAATTCAAAAGATTAACTATAATGGGAATAATATTGTATTTAAAATTTGAAATCTTGCAAAAAAATAAAAATAAAATAAAAAGGACTTGGACCGGCGTCTCTTACTTTGATCGTGTTGGGAAGAATAGTTTTGAGGGTGGCAATATGGGCATTGATTCGTTTCCTTCTTCTCCTTTCGGCTTCTTTGTGGCTATTGTTTGCTGCAACTGCTTTTGCTTCAGCCATAGATCTTGGACTAAGGTTCTGATTTTCAAGATTCGACGTTTCTGTCTGAAGAAAATCTGAACAGTTCCCCAGTTCGTAGAGACTTGGAATAGAATACATTTTTCCAATGACTCTAAGAGCAAGAAAATTACCAAGAAATCAAAAAATGAAATACATATACACAAAACACAGCATTCGAACCTAAAGATACATAAATATATGTATATCTGCAATCAACAGAGAATAAGCAAAGAGATACGCGTATATAAGGAGCATTTAAAGAGATAATGATCGAACCTGGTTATGATATTGTTCTGAGTTTCTGAGGATTCTGTGTGATCAGCAATATCAGATGGTAGACAAGGAATCAGAGGGATGAGATCACTTATTATTACAGACAATTGGAAAATGTTATTTTCATCTGAGTAGAAAACGTGAAGTGTTTCGAAAATTGTTCATCTTAGTACAAATTATTTCATGGGGCTGCATGTCCTTTTATACTAATCCTAGGCTATGAAGGCAACAGTTTTTCATTTTTCATTTTTTCTTTTCTTCTTCAATTTTTCTTTATGGGATAAATTAAAGAGGATAATCTGATATAA